CTGCCGGGACCCTTCAGGGGCTCCCCCGCAGCCAGGGGAGGATGCTGCGGGGTGCGAGGGGCGGGCCGGGCAGCGGCGGGCAGGAGGCAGGAGGAGGCAGGAGGGGGCAGGAGGAGGCAGGAGGAGGCAGGAGGGGGCAGGAGGAGGCAGGAGGAGGCAGGAGGAGGCAGGAGGGGGCAGGAGGAGGCAGGAGGAGGCAGAGGCGGTGCAGCCCCGCCCGCTCCCGGCGGGGCCCGGCCCGCTGGCGGCGCAGAGGCTGCGGGCGGCGGGGACGGGCAGGAGGAGCGCGGCGGGCGCCGTGCGGGGACGCGATGCACTCGCTCTTCAGGAAACGCAACAAAGGGAAATACAGCCCCTCCGTGCAGAAAAAAAGGTGAGTGACCCGGCCCCGGGCAGAGCCGCTCCTCCCGGGACGATCGGATCCCGTCCCGCAGCATCCCCCAGCTCCGCGCCGGGGGTCGGCACAGCTGATGCCCCGAGGAGTGGGAACCCACCCGAGGAGTGGGAACCCTCCCGAGGAGTGGGAACCCTCCCGAGGAGTGGGAATCCCCCCAGGTGTGGACACCCTCGAGAGTGAGAACCCTCGGGCTCCGCCCAAGGAGTGGGTACCCCTGGAGGTGTGGGCACCACCGAGATGTGGACACCCTGAAGTGTGGGCACCCCCCGAGGAGTGGGCATTCCCGAGGTGAGGGACCCCGAAGTGTGACATCCCCGAGGTGCGGGCACCCCCTGAGTGGTGGTAGAGCCCCTGAGAACCGTGTGGGAACTCCGATTTTTGGCCCCCCCGTGAAGTGTCAGCTCCGAGGTTGTGTCTCCCAGGTCCCCTCCCATCGCAGCAGCTCCAGCGAGCAGCTTCCTTCGCTTCCCAGGGGTGTGCTGGGTCAGCTCGTAGGGAAAAATAGTCTGGTTGTTCTGTGCTTCCCCTCTGTTCCCTCGGGACCGAGGATTTGGTCCATCGTCGTTTCCTCGCTCCCTCGGACGGGTGGGGACGCGTTTCGGTTGTACTGGTTGGTTAAAAAAAAAAAAAAAAAAAAAAAAAGCAGCGTGTTGAATGCGCCCTGTGAAAGGTCACTGATAAAAGGGAAAAGGTGTAAAAATCCCTCCCCTGGAAGGCTCAGCCTCTCCGGGCTGGACGGTGAACAGTCCCCAGCCCCTGCCTGCACCGGGATGTTTTTCCGAATAGGTGGATGTCGGGATTAATTCAGAAACGTGTCCCGTGTTTCCCAGAGGAGCTGCAGGGGCTCTGGAGCATGTGGAGCGCTCCAGGATTCTGAGTGATTCAAGGATTCATGATCCCAGCCCGTGGCTCTTCATCCCCTCCCAGTCCTCTCCACCGGCACCAGTCCTGGCTGGTGGAGCCCGAGCAGCCGCCCTCTCCCAAAAATCCTCCTTTGGGGAGCAGCTGCAGGGGCTGGGCACACAGAGAGGGACCAGCCAGCCCAGAAAGCGCCGACATTCCCCACGCAGGGGAACCCCCGGCTGCTCCCTGCCCACGGGAGCGGGGCTGTGCCGGTGGGAGGCTGCTCCCTGCCAGGGGAGCCTGTGCCCGCTGCTGCCCTGGCACAGGGCATTGCGGAGCTCCCTCTCCCGGGGCTGAGGCTCCAGCCCTGGGCAAGGCTCGGGGCAGCCCGGCTGGCTCGGCAGGGCCGCCCAGGCTGCCAAAGCCCCGGGGAGGGCAGGCAGGAGGAGCCGGGGGTGGCACGGAGCCCTCGGAGGCTCCGCACCTCCCTGGTGGCCCCGGGTGGAGGATGGTGCCAATTCCCAGGCGCGTTTCGGGACTTCGGGGGGTTAGTGGGCGGCTGGAAAGTGAGAAACGCCGCACCGGGGCTGGCAGCACAGGGCTCCGGGAGCATCGGGATGCTGGGAAGCAGGAGGAGACAGACCTGCCCGGTGCGGGGTGCCCACCGTGGGGCCGCGCTGCCAGCCCGGGGTACCCCGCGCTCTCTCCATCCGCCGGGCATCGGCTCAGGAAGGATGAAACTTCCCTCCGCCGCCCTGCCTGCAGCCCAGCGGCCCTGGGCAGGTGCCAAAGCACCTCCGGAGGCTGCGGGCCAGGCTGAAACCTCTGTTTTTCTGGCTGCTGGTGGCTGAGGAAGCCGCGCAGGGCTGTGCCCGGGGCCACCCTCCCTCCCTCCCCGCGCCCCGGCTGTCCGTGCACACCTCGGGGATCGCTGTGCTTATTACCCCAATTTGTTAATTCCTGCCTTGGAGTTTACAAACATCTGCGAATCCAGGGAACACTCCCACCGTGTGGAAACAGCCCCAGCATCAAGATGGGGAAGCCGGTGCCGGTGCCCGACCGGTTGAACAACTTGCAGGAGGAGGATTGCGAAGAAGAAGCGAGGAGCTCCTGCCCCGTCCCCTGCTCCAGGCACTGCCAGGCTCCCAGGCGGCTCCCGCCCAGCTCTGCTGCCAGCAAAACACAGCAACACTCCTCAAATCAGCCGCCCGCCCCCGCCGGCAGCAGGGACCAGGATTTCGACACCGCGGGAGCCGTGACGGAGCCTTCAAAGCACCGAGGGACAGGGCGAGAGCCCAGCACCGGTTTGGCAAGAGAGAGGGGCACCGGAGCGTGTCCTGCCACCCCCGGGAGCCACGGCCACGGGCTCAGCTCGGGGAGGCAGGGGCTGCCCCGGGAACATCGTCCAGCAGCAGGACAGAGCCTGGAGAGGAGCCATGGGAGCCCTGGTGGCTTCCTCAGCCTCGGGACAAAGCCTGCCCAGGATGGGAACACCCCCATGAACAGCACTGGCACCCAAGCCAGGTGCTGCAACCTCCCCATGAGCAACTCTTTGTCCCCTGGTGTGACCCTGTCCCAGCCCCAAAGTGGCCCTCAGCAGCACCAGACTCCAAGTCTCTCCTTAGGAATATCTGCTGCAGCTCTGTGATCTGCCTGGGCTCGAGGCCTCCAGGCTCTGTAGCCATCCCCACCCATCCCTGGGCATCTCCTGGCCTTGGCTGGGGATCCTGGAGGATGATGACATCTCTTGTCTTCTCATCCTGGTGACATCTCTTTTGTCTCATGGACTTGATTGCTTTGTTCTGCTCTCATCCCTGGCTATGGGAAGGCCCTGGGAATCCAGCCCTGACCACTGCGTCGTTACATGGATGTGTGTCCCTGGAAGGGAAGGCACAAGCCTTGAACAGAGCCACAGTGTGGGGAAAATCATCAGCCTCCTTCCACATCACGTTCCTCAGACCCTTGCCATGCTTAGAAATCAGGAGGTTGGCTCCTTTCTTTGATGGTCCAGGCTTGGCAGGCAGCAAACAGAGGGAGGTGCCCTCACTGAAGTGCCCAAGGCCGGGCTGGATGGAGCTTGGAGCAACCAGGGATAGTGAAAGGTGCCCCTGCCCATCTAATTCAAACCATTTGATAATTTTACGATAAAAACCAGCTCAGCTTTCACAGCTGCTGCTGAAACTCTCCCTCCTGGCAGCAGGAAATTTGTCCATCCTCGGGGTCCTTGGGGTGAGAGCACCCACCAGGAGCGCTCCCAGCCCTGGAGACCCTCACCAGTGTCCCTCCCCAGGTAAGAGGGGGTGCAGGCACTGGGACAGCTCTGCCTGCAGGGCTGGCACCCATTTCCAGAGGCTGTTTGGAAGGGCTGGAGTCAGCAGGTGAGTCAGGAGCTGCTCAGGGCTGAGGGCGGAGCGAGCCTCCCATCGCCCGCCCGCTTCTGCCCTCATTTCCATGCAGATTACAAAAAAATATCACCGTTCCTACGAGCAAGATAAATACAACTGGAACAGGCTGGGCTGAGCACAGCAGCCCTGCTGTCCAGCTACACCCTGACGTGGGCAGCTTGACAGAACTGTGCTCTGAGTTTTCAGCCAGATCCTAATCTCTCCCAAACCTGAATTACCGTGGCCAGAGCCCAGCCCTTGTGCTCTCTACCCTGCCACGGTTTCACTCCAGTGTCATTAAATGCAGCATGAGAGAATTTCATGCAGTGGGAGCTGTGGCTGGGGGAGCTTTAAGGACATTTATAGCTCTGTGCTGTGGCCTTCTGGAGGATTCATTCTGTTTAATTCCTCCTAAAGTCCGGCCTCCAGCAGCAGGGCTGACATGGGAAGATTTCTATGGAATCTCTGCAAATGGACATTGAATGGGGATGGAATTGAGGGCAGCAGGGGCTGGGCACTGCCTGCTGTGCTGATTGTCCCTCCCAGCGGTGGGGTCAGACCCATCCTCACCCACCTCCCTGTCCCTGGCCAAGTCATCCCAGCAGGAGAAGCCTCTGGGGTGGGAAGGGTTTGTGACAGGAGAGCAGCATCCCTGAGCAGGACAGAGGACAAATTCCCAGCAGGAGCCTTCCCAGGGAGCTCGCTCAGCTGGAGCAGTCAAAATTCAGGAGTGTCTGAACGTCCCTCCCTTGGAGGGATTAAGGAAACAGCCTCCTTGTTTGGAAAAAAGGAAACTTGAGAAATCAAAACCATTTTCTACCACCTGCCAGCAAGCACAAGAGCTTTGCACATCCTGGAGAAACTGATCTCAAGGAGGTTTGCTCCAAAACCTGCTCTTACCAGTGAGGGTGCAACCTAATGAGAAGAGAAAAAGAAAAAGGAATAGAGGAAATGTCTGTTTTTTAGCAGCAAAGTTTTCACATTACAATAATTATGATCATATTTGGCTGTTGAGAACCTTTGTTAATAAAAATACCCCAACAAATCACAACTAAAATACTAAGAAAAAATCACCAAAACCCTAAGAAAACAGAAGAAAGAAAAACCTGAATCCTAAAAATCCCCCTAAGCCTTCAGAAACAGCTGAACCCCTCTGACAGCAAGGTCTTGAGGGCAGAACTGTGGTAAAGGATGAAGTGCTGCCTGCCAGGGTGCAGTTTCCTCCTGGTCCCTGAGCTGGGAGAAACCCCAAAAGCAGCACCCATTCCCATGGGAATGACCTGGGGTCCTTCACCCCAGCCAGGCAAAGGCACTGACAAAAACCAACTCTTCTGCTGAGCACAGCTTTCCATCAGAGAGATCATTTTTTCCTTCCTGACCAGAGAATGTTAAAGTTCTCCAGAAATGGCAAAGCCAGTTTTTCCAGGCTTTTATTTATTTTTTTTCCATCTCTCAAACAAAGCCTTATCTATTCCAGCAGAGCAGCTCTGCATTCCCCCTGTGCTGCAGCCTGGCAGGGGCTGTGCCCTGGGCACCTTTGCTCCTGGCTCTGCCCAGCCTCGTGCCTGCTGCCCATCCCAGCTGGGCTCTGGCCAAATTCTGCACTTCTCCCTCCCTCCCTCCCCATCTCTGCTCCATGCCCAGCCACCCCCAGCCTGTGTTTTGGCCCTGGCATCCCTTTGGCTTCCCCTGCCAGCAGCTCTGCTCCAAGCCTGGATGCATCCAATGCTCTTGCTGGCACCTTCCCAAAAGAGCCACATCCTATCAGTCCCATCCACACACTTTTCCTGGGACAGCCAAGGATTCCTCACTGCTTTGGCCAACAATTTGTGCTTCTCCTGCACAGAATCACGGAATGGGTTGCACTGTAAGGGAGCTTCAAGCCCATCTCATCCCATCCCTGACATGGGGACACCTCCCACTGTCCCAGGCTGCTCCAAGCCCTGTCCAGCCTGGCCTTGGGCACTGCCAGGGATCCAGGGGCAGCCACAGCTGCTCTGGGCACCTGTGCCAGGGCTGCCCACCCTCACAGAGAACAATTCCTGCCCAATATCCCATCCATCCCTGCCCTGACAGTGGGAAGCCATTCCTCCTTTTCCTGGCACTCCAGTATCTTCCCCCTTGCAGCAGATGAAGCCAAACTCCTCCATCCCTTGGCAGGGAGATTTCAGCCAGGCTTTAACTTCCCCTGTTTAACATCCAGCTGGATGCAGGGACAGTGCTGCTCCTCTGGTTTATCCACGTAGCCCCAGCTGTGCTGGGGAGAGGTGGGTAATTAACTGGCCTGGTGGTAATTAACTGGCCTGATATTCTCACACCAGTGATGTCCAAGCTGGTTTATGAAGTGGCACCAAAGTGTGGAGAAATAAATGCCCAAATAAGAGAGATCTTCCATGGGAGGTTCCCATTCTCTCTCGTTGCTCTGTTAGCTCCTGCACACCTGCAATCCTGCATTTCCAGCTGCAGCAGCATGGGTGGAGCGCAGCTGAGCTCAGGCAGGACAGGCTGCACGATGCTGCAGTTTGAGGTGCAGCTCCCACGGGAGTTTTTATGAGAGTTCCCTGTCCCACAGCCTCAGCTGGTGACTCTCCTGTAAACCACAGAGGTGGAGAGAGCAAAGGGCTCCTCTGGTGTGTCAGGAGAGCCCAGCCATGGCCACATCACCTCCCAGCATGTCCCTGCTTGCTCTGAGCAAGGCTGCATTTCTTTGCCCTGGTCACCCAGACCTGCAGCTTCTGGATCCCTCCAACACAGGGAATGGCCCTTCCCTGCCCTCCCCTCCCCTGCCCTCCCCTCCCCTGCTCCCGGCCCTGCAGTGATGGAGAAGGGATGTCACCATCCCACGGGGCTGGAGGGTGACTCTGCCTCAGCCCTGGGGTCACTGAGGGCAGGAGGGGGTCCAGGGGCAGCACCCCCAGATGGGAAGGGGCTGGCAGGGCACAGATGGTGACAGGGACGAGGAGATCTCGTGGCTCCAGCCTGAGAGAGCAGCAGAGAGAAGGGGACTGGGGACTCATCCTTGGCCACACACAACAATGTCACCCCAAAGTGGCTCGGCAGGGCCGGTACCTGAGGGGAAGGGTCAGGCCTGGCTGCTGCACTCGCTGCTTCAGCACCTGAGATCAGTTTTGCTGGTGCAAACTGAGCAAAAGGCTGGGCTGAGGCTCCAGGCTCAGCTCTCCAGGTCACAGCCTGAACCACAGCCCTGGATCCAAAAAACCCCTGCCTTAGGTTTATTTCCTCCCCACAATTGAGAGGCTTCAGTCCAAAGTAGAACTAGAAAGAGCTCAGACTTCTCCTGGGTTTTAGGATGGTTTTCCCATCCATGCTGCAGATCCACTGAAACCCTGAAGATCCATCCTTGGACTTGCTGGAGTCACTGGGACCGAGGCAGGGCACAGGGAGAGGAGGCAGCAAGAACTTCCAGCTTGTCCCCAGCTCGTCCCCAGCTCGTCCCCAGCTCAGACCAGTCCAGCTCCCGGCCCTCACCGTGAGCATCCCCAGCTCCCACCTGGACAATGAACCTCCCTCACCCTCCAAGCTCAGCTGGCCCCCAGTGCATGGCTGGGAGGTGAGGAAGGCTCCTGGTGGCCACAAGCTCTGCAGGATGCAGGAGATGCCAGCTCTGAGCAACCAGCACCTGGAGAGACCCAAACACAGGCAGCACATTCCAGTCACCCACTCCAAACCACTGATTCCACCCCACTTCTGCCCTGCTTTCTGTGGGAAGAAACCCCAAGGTGGATTTTGAGGAGCTACTTCTACCACTGGAGCAGGAGGCAGCCACCCACATCCCATCTCCCAGTGCACCCTGCACCCTCCAGCTGGGATTATTGAACACAGAATGAGAATCATCCCTGGAATTCTTGCAACCACAACTCCCAGTGACCCCTTCCTTGTCTCCTGTGCCCAGGAATGCCCATGGGTTCATTGCTGCTGGTGCAGGAGGTGCCAGGCAGGCAGCAGGCACAGCGATGGGCACAAACCTCCGAGTACCATCCTGATGATGCAGCTTCTATAAAAAGAAAAAAATCAGCGTAAACCATGCCCATACCAGAACTTCCCAGGGAAGTGTGAACTTTTCTGGAGCTGTTGGATGCCACAAGGCTCCTGCAGCCTGGGGCAGGTTTGAGGGAGGGAGGAACGAGTCCAGAGCTGGGCTTTGAGTTTGTTCTGCTGCACTGAAGCGACAGCACATGGGGCAGGCAGGAACAGGTCCTGGAACTGAGCACCAGAGTCCTGGGGGAGCTGCAGCACCAATCCTGGGGTCACTTCTGGGCCCTCCCAACACTGAGGGGCTGGAGGGGGTCCAGAGAAGGGAATGGAGCTGGGAAGGGTCAGGAACACCAGGAGGGGCTGGGGGAGCTGGGAAGGGGCTCAGCCTGGAGAAAAGGAGGTTCAGGGGGGACCTTGTGGCTCTGCACAACTCCTGACAGGAGGGGACAGCCAGGGGGGCCAGGCTCTGCTCCCAGGGAACAGGGACAGGACAAGGGGAAATGGCCTCAGGCTGTGCCAGGGGAGATTTAGGCTGGATATTGGGATAATTCCTTTATGGAAAAGGTGGTCAGGCACTGGCACAGCTGCCCAGGGCAGTGGTGGGGTCACTATTCCTGAAAGGATTTAAAAGCCATGTGGAGGTGACACTTGGGGACACAAGTCAGTGGTGGCCTTGGCAGTGCTGGGGGAATGGTTGGACTCGATGTACTTCGAGGGTTTTCCAACCTTTACAATCCCATGGGATTCTACCTGGGGATGCAGGAACTCTCTGTGCCGTGAGCCAGCACTGCTGGGTGCTGCTGCTCCCCCAGCCAGCCCCACTGACACTTCCAAGTGCCACATAAAGATTAGTTCTGCCCCCACATAACGAGGCCATGAAGGCTCATATTAAGGTGGTTGGGACTGGACTGAGCCAAAGCAGCACAGCTGGGACACCCCAGCCTTGCCAGCAGCCCCAGCCCCCTCTGGCTGCAGGGATTTGGGGGGCACACGCTGCTCCTGCCCTGCTCAGGGGTGGGAGAGCTGCGGGCAGTGCCTGGCACACACCCCTGGCGTGCTGCAGTCTCTCCTTGCAGCCAAGTGACAGCAAAGAGATGAAATGTTTAAAATAACCCCAGCAATGCAGAGGCTGCGTCACGGGTTGTTGTGCCTCTGCTCCATGTCCCTGTGCTTGGATGGGAATATTTGGGCTGCACCCTGCCAGCCTGGGAGCAAAACCAGTGCCCAGCACGGGAGAAAGCTCCACAGGAGATGCAATGTTTGTGATCCCATCCCTTTCCTGGTTTAAAGTGTGAATAACTCCTTGCATGTCGGAACTCAAAATGTCCCTCAGACATTTTCAGAGGTTCCAAGCCTTAGTCAAAAGCATTTTAGACCCTGGCAAGCAGCTAAAAACAGCTGTGATCTTAAGTTTAAACCATAGAATAAATTACCAACTTTAAAAGTAGAATAAGCAGTCACAGAGAGTTAAATAGTATAGTAAAAGTAGTCACAAATTAAAGAGTAAAATTTTTTAATATTGTACAGGGGGGTTTTAACACCTATACAAAGAAGTTTTACTTTATACAGGGGGATCAAAAATTTTAAGATAGAAGAAAATAGGCCTAATCCTTTTCTTCCTCCTTCTTCTTCCTTACCTCCATGTTCTTAGTAATGTTAGCATTTTTCTATTAGTTTAAGCTAAAGACACACTGTTCAACGTAAATAATAAATATTAGCACATTATTATAAATATAATACACATAATTTCTAGTATATAATGTTTATACCATCCCACTAAGGGGCAGAGCCCCGCACACTACCCTGCAAGACAAACCTACAGCAAAGCAGCAAAACATATTATAAATAAGCAAAAATAAACAACCTTAAAAACAGCACAAACAAATTATAGCTTCTTCTTTAGCAACAAAGCAAAAAACCAAAAACTTTCTACAATCTCAAAATCACCAATACCCACAAATTCCAACACTTGCAGAGAGGGCAGCTCAGAGGGGGCACAGAGGGCAGAGCAGGCTGCAGAGAGGGGCTGCCCAGGGGCAGCAGCCTTCAAGGGACCCCTGCCCCATGGGTGTGGGGGCCAGGGCCTCCCTGCTGCTCCAGCCCCACTGTTTCCACACCGGACCCCCTTCTCAGGCACAGGGTGGGATTGTTGGGGTGTCTGTGCAGGGCCAGGAGCTGATGGTCCTTCCAGCTGAGGATATGCTGTGATTCTCTCCCTGTCCCTGCAAAGAGCTCTTTTCTTTCGGGCTCTGAAGCCGAGGGAGGCTCAGGCATCCGTCCCACTGGCTGAGTATTTTGGCGAGTGCTGGAAGGCAGCAGTGAGTCACTCCCAGCTGCAGTGCCTGGCAGGCTCGGCTGGCCCCCGGCCACCCCCGGGGTCACGGCACCCCCGGCCACCCCCGGGAGCTGTGGCTGCCTCCGTGGGGTGACAAGAGCCCCGTTCTCTCCCCAGCATCTCCAGCAAAGAGCTGACCGAGCTCATCGAGCGCCTGCAGAAAAATGCTGACCAGGTGGAGAAAAACATCGTGGAGACCGACTCCCGAATGCAAAATGTAAGGAAGGCACGGTCCCACACTCACAGGCTCCCCCTCTGCCTCCTGCACCAACCTTTCCGCACTCCCCGGGCTCTCCTCTCCTCTCCTCCTCTCCTCTCCTCTCCTCTCCTCTCCTCTCCTCTCTCTCTCCTCTCCTCTCCTCTCCTCTCCTCTCCTCTCCTCTCCTCTCCTCTCCTCTCCTCTCCTCTCCTCTCCTCTCCTCTCCTCTCCTCTCCTCTCCTCTCCTCTCCTCTCCTCTCCTCTCCTCTCCTCTCCTCTCCTCTCCTCTCCTCTCCTCTCCTCTCCTCTCCTCTCCTCTCCTCTCCTCTCCTCTCCTCTCCTCTCCTCTCCTCTCCTCTCCTCTCCTCTCCTCTCCTCTCCTCTCCTCTCCTCTCCTCTCCTCTCCTCTCCTCTCCTCTCCTCTCCTCTCCTCTCCTCTCCTCTCCTCTCCTCTC